CTCCTCCTCCTCCTCCTCCTCCTCCTCCTCCTCCTCCTCCCTTCTAACACTGATGATGTTCCCTAGTTGGGTCATGAAATGTCTGCAAGAAAATAACCAAGCTCAGAGAGCCCCAAGGACCCCACAGCCCTCCTCCTCCTCCCTCTCTCCCTCCCTCCCTCCTCCTCCTCTCCGCATACCCCCCTCCCTTCTAGCACTGACAACATGACCTAGATGGGTCATGAAACGTCTGCAAGGGAACCACCCAGGATCCCCTCTTTGCCCCCTTTCCACAGGCATGCGGCCGTTCATCCCTGACCAGGACATCGGCTACTTTGAGAGCTTCCTGGAGAGCATCGGCATCCGGGAAGGGGGCATTCTGACCGACAGCTTCGGCCGCATCAAGAGGAGCATGAGCAGCACCTCGGCCTCGGCCGTGAGGAGCTACGACAGCTGGTCCTTGCACTCCGACGCAGAGTCCTTCAATCGCCGGATCGCCAACATCACCCACGACATCGAAGCCCTGGCGGGGGACGAGGAGGAAGCGGGCGCTGGGCCCGGGAGCGATGAAGACAATTATCTCTAAGGCCAGGAAGCCCCCAACCCTTTTCATGGCTAGCACGCATCTGCCATCCAGGCCTTAAGAGGGGTGGACGTCAACTCCCAGAATCCCCCAGCCAGCAGGCTTTAAGATGGGAGGAGTTGAATTCCCAGAATCCTCCAGCCAGCAGGCTTTAAGATGGGAGGAGTTGAATTCCCAGAATCCCGCAGCCAGCAAACTTTAAGATGGGTGGACTTCATTTCCCAGAATTCCCCAGTCAGCATCTTTAAGATGGGTGGACTTCACTTCCCAGAATTCCCTAGTCAGCAGGCTTTAAGATGGGTGGATTTCAACTCCCAGAATTCCCTAGTCAGCATACTTTAAGATGGGTGGACTTCAACTCCCAGAATCCCCCAGCCAGCATATTTAAGATGGGTGGACTTCACTTCCCAGAATTCTTAAGAAAAATCTCGTTGATGGAGGCCTACTTAGACCAGTGTTTCTCAACCTTGGACACTTTAAGATGGGTGGACTTCAACTCCCAGAATCCCCCAGCCAGCAGGCTTTAAGAGGGGAGGACTCCATTTCCCAGAATTCCTCAGCCATCATGCTTTAAGATGGGTGGACTCCATTTCCCAGAATTCCTCAGCCAGCATGCTTTAAGATGGGTGGACTCCAACTCCCAGAATTAAAGCACTGCTGGGTAGGGAATTCTGGGAGTTGAAGTCCACCCCTCTTAAAGCAGCCAAGGTTGAAAAAAAAACACTGCTCCACACTCTTTGCTTGAAGAGGTTCCTGTAGTAGGGATTGTTTTCTCTTTGTTAATGGCAAATAGTTTTGATTACTTTCAGTTAGGGCGTCTTTTGTGTGTCTTTGTGTGTTTTGAGTCATTGTCAACCCTACGCAAGCCCGTGCAGTTGTGTGGGATTCTCTCCTCTAGGCTGGTTAATTGCATCAGAAGGCGTTGCCCGAAAACTTGGAAATATTTCCAATGAATCAATCCTGCAAAGCCTTTGCAGACAAGTCCAAACAAAGAAATGGAGTCTGTCTACAACAGGGGTCTTCAAACTTAGCCGCTTTAAGACTTGTGGACTTTAACTCCCAGAATTAATAATAATAATAATAATAATAATAATAATAATAATAATAATAATAGTAATAATAATAATAATAATAATAATAACAATAACAACAACAACAACAACAACAACAACAACAACAACAATAATGATAAAGTTGGAAGGGACCTTGGAGGTCATCTAGTCCAACCCCCTGCTCAGGCAGGAAACCCTATACCATTTTGGACAAATGGCTGTCCAGTCTCTTCTTAAAAACTTCCAGTGTTGGCGCATTCAGAGCTTCTGGAGGCAGGTTGTTCCCCTGGTTAATTGTTCTGACTGTCAGGAAGTTTCTCCTTAGTTCCAGGTTGCTTCTCTCCTTGATTAGTTTCCATCCATTGCTTCTTGTCCTGCCTTCAGGGGCTTTGGAGAAGAGCTTGACTCCCTCTTCTTTGGGGCAGCCCCTGAGATACTGGAAGGCTGCTATCCTGTCCCCCCTCGTCCTTCTTTTTGTTAAACTAGACATCCCCAATTCCAGCAACCGTTCCTCATATGTTTTAGCCTCCAGTCCCCTGATCATCTCTGTTGCTCTTCTCTGCACTCTTTCTAGAGTCTCCATATCTTTTTTACACAACAAACGGTTGGCACACCTGTGAAATGGGTTGAGGTCCATGGACATTTGTGTGAGACACCCCAGTCCCTCCTATTGCAAAAGCTGCCTGGTCCTTGAGATCAGCAGAGAGACCCTTTTGAAGACCCCCTGACAGCCGTTGGGTCTGGAATTGTACAGTTAGTCCCCAACTTACGACAATCCATTTAGTGACCGGCACAACGGCACCGGAAAAAGAGACTTAGGGCCGTTTTTCACACTTACGACCGTGGGATCACCTGATCAGAATTCAGCCGCTTGGCAACTGACTCCTATTTATGACGGTCGCAGTGTGCCGGGGTCATTGGGAGGAATTGGGTATGTCTAGTTTAACGAACAGAAGGATGAGGGGGGACAGGATAGCAGTCTTCCAATATCTCAGGGGCTGCCCCAAAGAAGAGGGAGTCAAGCTATTCTCCAAAGCACCTGAAGGCAAGATAAGAAGCAACGGGTGGAAACTCATCAAGGAGAGAAGCAACCTGGAATTATGGATAAATTTCCTATCCATGAGAACAATCAGTGAAACGGCATGCCACCAGAAGTTGTGGGTGCCTCAATACTGGAAGTTTTTAAGAGGGGATTGGACAGCCATTTGATTGAAATGGTATAGGGTCTCCTGCTGGAGCAGGGGGTTGGACTAGAAGACCTCCAAGGTCTCTTCCAACTCTGTTATTCTACTCTACTCTACTCTACTCTACTCTACTCTACTCTACTCTACTCTACTCTACTCTACTCTACTCTATTCTATATTTCTATTTTTTCTATTCTATTATTCTGTTAAATCCTCAAGTTCCTGGAATTGGGATTGTCCAGTTTAATGAAAAGAAAGGGTGACATGATAGCAATATTCCAGTATCTGAGGGGCTGCCACCAAGAAGAGGGGGGGTCAAGCTATTCTCCAAAGCACCTGAAGGCAGGACAAGAAGCAACAGATGGAAACTAACCAAGGAGAGAAGCAACCTGGAACTAAGGAGAAACTTCCTGACAGTGAGGACAATTAACCAGCGGAACCACCTATCTCCAGAAGCGTCCAACTCCAAGGTCCCGTCCAACTCTATTACTATTACGATTACAATTACGATTACGATTACTATTATTATCATCTAGCCTTCAAGAAGAGACTGGACTGCCCTCTGTCAGAAATGGTGTAGGGTCTCCTGCTTGGCTGGGGGGTTGGACTAGATGACCTCCAAGGTCCCTTCCAACATCATCATCATCATCATCATCATCATCATCATCATCATTATTATTATTATTATTATTATTATTATTATTATTATTATTATTATTATTATTATTATTATTATTATCCAAAGCGCCTGAGGGCAGGACAAGAAGCAACGGATGGAAACCAATCAAGGAGAGAAGCAACCTGGAACTAAGGAGAAACTTCCTGACAGTTAGAACAATTAACCAGTGGAACTACCTGCCTCCAGAAGCGGTGAATGCTCCAACACTGGAAGTTTTTAAGAAGAGACTGGACAGCCATTTGTCCGAAATAATGTAGGGGGTTTCCTGCCTGAGCAGGGGGTTGGACTCGATGATCTCCAAGGTCCCTTCCAACTCTGCTATTCTGATTATTTTCCCCCTCCCTATGATTCTTCTGTCTGGACGCATAGAGATACAGTCCTAATGTGCCAACAATTTTTAGGATCGGATCCTTTGCGCTGGTGCCCCAAAGCCGCCTGCCCACAGGCGAGGACCGATGCGGTCCCTGTAGCCCCCCCCTCCCTCCCCAAATTCTGAGGTCACAACCAGCATCCTTGCTTTTGCATCAAAGCCACTGACCCCAAGCAATTTGCATCTGGAGAAGGAAGTAAATTCTCTGTAATTCGGGGAAAAGGCCGGGCTGTCTGCCAAATGAAATGGAAGGATGGAGGTGGGGGGGGGGTCCATTTGGCACCTGGCAGCAAAGGCCACCAAAGGGGGAGGAGGGGTCAATACAAGAGTTGCCAACCGGAGACACGGAGGTGACCGCTGCTGCGGCAGCTGGGGCCTTTTGCAAAAATTAGCTTTTTGCATCCGAGGAGAAAACAGTCT